AGCTAAAAACAAAAGGGAGGAGGCAGCTGTTTAGGAGTTTAGGATTTGCTGCATTCTTTGTTTTATCATCCTCCAGACAGCTGCACTTCATTCTAAAGACATTAAATATTTTCCTTAGAGAAAGATATCCAACAAGGAAGTCTGTGGCAGGCAGGAAGAAGGATACGGTGCATCAGCTGACACTCTACTTCAGGAAACATCTTTCAGAGTCTACTTTCCAAGGAAGTCAATTTTATCTGGTATTCTCACCCAAGACAAAGAGAACAGGCCCTCTAGGAGTTGCCCAGCTGGCCCAAAGCAGGTGTTCAATAAATGCTGGCTGACTCTGAATAAACAGACCAAAGCCACTACTCACATTATTTTGTTTGTTCAAAAACAAAGGGTGGGGGGAGGCAGGTACTCTCATCAGCTCTTTCAGTTTTCCAGTTAATCATTAGCTGAGAATGCCACAGCTGGCTTCCCCACCCAAAAGCCAATGACAGTAAATCTCTCAAATGAACCACTAAGAATGTATGATCGAACAACTAAACTTCCCGGTCAGCTCCTCCTTCACCCTCTGTGGCTGACAATTATGAAGATAGAAAAGGGCGCAATCCACATGCTATCACATTAAACTACACAAACTAAGTTTTCCCATTTAAAAAGAAAATCCTTCCTATTGTCAAATTTAAAATTCCATTATTTATCTATTGGAGGCCAAAACAAAATGCAATTTTTTCCATTAAAAATAATTTCATTAAAGAAAACTTGGAAAAAAGAATCAGCCAGGAACACAGAGAAAAGTAGAAAACAATCAGCCATAAAATGTACCACTCAAAACAGCACCTATCAACATTTGGGTTCATTTTTTTTCCAGGTTTTTTCCTCCCCTAAATTACAGTTTTGTGTAATTGTAACCATGTGACATATACTAATCATACTTGCAGCTTGTGTCACTTAAACTATATCATGAGCATTTCCCCAAGTTTTTCTTCTTCATAACCTTGTATAACTACATAGAGTAGATGATAGAAACAAGATTTTTAAATTAAACCAAGTCAAGAAATACTTGCCATTCTCTTTCTTCCACTATAGTAAAAACTCAGAATTTCCCAAAGCTCCTGGGGCCTCTGGAACTAAGATAATATACATAAAAAATGCCTAGATGCATAGGCAGTTTTTAAGAAATGTTAATTGACTTTAAAGTGACAACGAGAATATTTACTATAATAATCTCTGGAACGATACAAATGAAATTAAATTCAGCCTCTGTTCCAAACAAATTTTTAATATCATTAAGAAGATAAAATGCATTTTCACCCAACAACTAAAGCCCAACATAATCCAGCATACACTCATTCTGGCTCTCCAAGGGCTTGGGATGCTTTATTCATTTTGTACTCCTAGCATGAAGAAGTGCCTGGCACATTATAGATATTCCATAAATATCTGTTGCACTGAACTGAACTATAGATTAAGAGCAATGCTAATTTAGAGAGAAGAAAGATTACTGTGAGCTGAGGTTAAGTTAGGCAAAGCAGACAGTATGGATATGGCAGAATTTGTTATGGAAATGATGTGTAGAAAGGCTGAACCACAGAAGCCTTGGGATACTCTGAAATGAAAACATGTTTGCATAGTTCTAATTTATTAAAAAGTTTGATGTTCCTATACCACCAGCACTGAAATCTCTGCTATACATATTAACCACTCATGGGAAATACATAACACATAAGAGATACTACTTAAAATCAAAGAAACACACCAACACAAAATACTACAGCATTCCTTGACATCAGAAACAAATACTAATTCTCAGGGAGCTTTCTCTATGTCATGGCAAGTAGCCGAGGCAGTAAATTAAGGCTTTAGATCTCAATATAGCTTTCCATAGTGGATACTGTCCTTGCTAAACTAGGTGTAAAAGAATGTGCTTACCAAAACTTACTTTCCAGATCTCTTTATACTCCAGTGAAGCTATTTGCATATACTGTTAGCATTCAGAAGGCAAATACAGAAGATTTGAAATCTGCATTCAGCCTTAACAGCATCACATTCACACCACCTTAAAAAAGAGAATCCAACTTCATGACTAGGGTATTATTCAGCAGACTCCATACATCCTAACTTCATTCACACACATATTTTCCTTTCTTTTACCCCACTTGTGCTTTGAAAAAATTCAAAGAATGTATGAAGAAAAAATTTGCTAATACATCTCTAACAGCTGCTAGTTGGATGTACTAAATCCATAGCTTCTTCAATTACATTATGTGGCCATCTCAAAAATACAAGTAATACGAAAATACAAAAATAATACAAATTTGGTTTCCTTCAAAAGAACTGAATTAAGCCTAGCCTACTGGGCTGCCTTAAGAGCTTAGGGGTTGGGTGTATGATTATTTTGTCTGGATATAATTCTGCAATTTCTTATGATTAAGTATCTCCCTCGCCTGAAGCACTCAAGAACAAATGCCTATCAACAAGTCATTTGGGAATGAACAGCTGATTTGAAGTACTGCATGCTTCGGGGCAGGTGTTCCTTGTTTTGCTGAAAATACACAAACAGTCTGATCATGATTACATCTGTCAGATAATTTAAAAGAAAATAAAAAATAGGTCATTTAAAAAAATGTTTCAAGAGTCCAAACAAATGCAAAAGAAAACTGAGAATTTTTCTTTTTCAAAAATGTCCCCGCTTCAGCACATTATCTTATCCCAAGAATACAAACTGTTACTGTTTTAGTTCTAATGAAGCACTTCTTTCTAGGATATCAAAGATTTGGAAGCCCAACAGTAACTACTACATAATCATTCAAAAAAGACATGTGGCATAACATCTACAAAGCTGAATTGCACCTGTCACCAACTTAACAAAAGAATGTTATATACAAACCGCACGGCTTTCAACATTTGATAACTCAGTTAAACTAATCTGTAATAAGAACAACACTGTCAAATGGAATAATAAAGTAACCCAAACTTGGATTAACACAAATGGTTGAAGATTCCAAATTACTTCTGTTTCTTCATCCAGAAAAATGGGAAAAATAATAGTAACAACCTCTTAGAGTGCTTATCAGTATCAAATGAATACATGTCAAATTCTTACAAAAGAGCCTGGTAAAGGGTAACTAATAAAGAATGTATTATACTGGAAACCAAAATTTTTAAAATGCGAATACTGAAAAACAATAGCAATTTAAAAAAGTAATCATAAAAATAAAAAAGACACAGCTATCATGACCTGTGGAAGAATAGTTTTCAAGTTGTTACAGTATATTTATAGCATAAACTAATGGAAAAAGAGCCTCTCTACTAAAAAGATAGCTACATCATTCAAGGTGGATTAATAAATTCTACTACCTTGATTCTTTGTCATTGGTCTTAGTTTGCAAAGTTTGATTCTTCCTCCTATTCTCTGCAGGTAAATCTCAGCTCTTAATATCAAGAAAGCCACCAAATGAGCCCCTCCAGAATACAAAATAAAAGGTCAAGGTTATGTGAAGTCCTTAGAATCATCTAGATTTATTAACAAAGCATCAAGTTGAAACTCATTCCTGAGCTAAATTGTCAAATGTTTCTGCAATAAAAACTGCAAACTTTCATGTGAAAAGCCTTTATCAACAATAGGGAGTTGTTCCAGTCTCTGAATAGGACAGTGTCAGTGTGACCAACAAAGCTGGGAGCTGGACATTCCTGACACCCTTGTCCCCTGCCTGGCCTTTGACCACTTATATCACTCAACCACATGTTTTTGGAAATTACTCTCAGGCAAAGTATATGGACAACATCTATTGCCTGAAACTTATCCCTCATCACAGAGCACTGTTTCCACAGCTTTTATCCCAGACCCTCACTTTTTACTACAACCATTATGAACCCGTGAATGAGCATCAAACACAGGAGTGCTTTGTTTTCCTTGTCCTTCCAGCCCCACTCCCAGTCACTTCGTGTTTTAATTTGTATATGCTGGAAGACATCATGGGATGACAACAGCAAATAAGCCAAACAATGACCTAAAAACTGAAAAAAAAAAAGACCTCGTTTGGTTACCTGCAGATGGCCAACAGGGAAGGAAAAGTGTAGCGTAGTGTTTTAGGTCCACATGGGTTTGAGTTTTCACTACTTATCTGGAATGCAGTCTTGGAAAAGAGATTTGACTTAGGTCTTAGTTTTCTTATCTAAAAATGGATTAATAAACTCACTTCACAAAGTTGTTGTAAGGATTTAAATAAGATTATGATTTCAAAGTGCCCCGTATACAATATGTGCTCACTAAACAGAAGCTTTTTCAGTCCTTCTGTCCAAATGTCGCAGTACACACGAATCTAATGAGAATTCCAGACAGTGGAAAAGACAAATCAAAACTCTCAAGTTTATCAGTGTATCTTTATCAAAAAAACCCAGATGCTATTTCAGGGTAAGAGTCTGCGGGGTCTCCTAAGCTGGGCTGGAGACCAAAAAAAGCACTTGATTGATATCTGTGCCATTTTATTTCCACGAAAGGAAATCTAAGTTTGCCCAGTTCAGTCTCTTTGTTTACAGTAAGGGACAAATGAACAGCAGAGCCCCAAAGTGTTGTGACCAAGAGCCAGACAGGCCTCAGAACTGTGCCGCGCTGGTCCTTTCGGAAGGCCGTTCACAGTCCACTTCGGGGCACTGTGCTCCTTACACAGTGTCTTCAAGCAAGTTGCCCATGCCGAAGCTGCCACTGTCTTTCCAGAAGGTGGTGCCTTCTGCCTGGGTCGAGCCCACCGCCCGCAGCGAACTGCCCAGGCCTCTCACGGGCCCCCGCACCCCGCGCCCAACTCGCTGGGATCCCGCCGGGAGGCCGGGATCCGACTCATCTTCCCGGGACGCCGGAGCCCGCCGCTTCTCTCGCTCCTCCTACTGAGCCCCCGGAGACGCCGGGGCCGGGACCGCTATTCCCGCCTATATGGGCTCCAGCCGCTTCGGCTCGCTCTGCTCTCATCACTCCCACACCCTACTCTCCGAAAGGTGGAAACTCGCAGACTCACCCCTGAAAAGCAACAGCAGGAAGAAGTCTGGCAGCCGGTCGCAGAGCCGGAGTCCCGGCCGCCGCCTCAGCGCCATGTCGAGGGGAGCTGGGGGACCGCGGGCGCAAGGCGCAGCCAAGATTCCTTGCGCGCATGCGTCCAGCCTGCTGGGACACTGCTACCCGCCTCTAGTTACCATAGCGACAACCTGGCCCGCCAGAGCCGTTACCATGGTGACAAAGGAAGCTGAAGGCAGGTTGCTATGGATGCAGGGATGCCCTGGACCTGGGCCCATGGGGTCTCTTTCAATAATTCGGTGGGAGGAGGTAAAGAAGCGCGTTCAAGAGTGCGGTGGGGGTAAATTTCCACAGCTAGAAAATGAATACGTCACTACAGATTACAGAAGGAACAACCAATTAAAATTTTAAAAAATGAAGTGTTTCTTGTTTTACAAATAAGGATGCAGCCCAGTTATCTTGGAAGCATTGTTGCTTGCGCCTCTTTTGAGGCCCTGATTCCAAATGTGACGGAAGGAAAAAGTAATGAAATCTCTATAAAACATAACAAACACATATTATGCAGTACATAAAAGTGATGTATTTCTAAAAAGAAAAAGTTATTTCTATGGTAGATCAAAAGCATGATAGTATATCCAATAGTTTATACTGCAAAAACTCAAGGTACTTATTTTGCTCTGGTTTCTCAATGTTGAAATGGTAAGGCTAATGGTAAATGGGAAATGGGAAATGGTAAGGCTACAGAAGAAAAATGGAGCAGCATCTTATGAGAACAAGCGGACAAGATGAACAGAAGAATAAAATGTACTGGAAATTGGACCTAAAGATGCAGGTAGTTTTGACTGTCATTTAATACTGTGGAAAATTTTTGAAATGGCTTGTATTATATATAATATAGAAAGTACATCTCTAATGGTCCAGGAAATAAGAGCAAAAACAGAATTTTGAGTATAGTTATTAGTAAAATATGCCAATTTCCAACAACTATTTTTTTCACTGTAAATTCTTATTGCAACATTCTTTATAATAACAAAAATACAGCTACAGAATTAAATACTGGATTTGTTTTTCAGGACCTTTGGCCCTGGGCTACAGGACACAAGTATTTCTTTTAGGGTGGATATGGAAACTTAAAGATCCAGACCTTGAGCAGAAATTTAAAGCTTTGAACTTACCATTTTTATTCTCTCAAGTTCTTCAGTGCATTTACAATATGTCATATTTATTTATATACGTAGCATTGTGTGTTCACCACTTAAAGTTAGATCTTCTTTCATCATCAAATATTTGACCCCTTTTACTCCTACGTACCTCTCCCCACCCCACTTCCCTCTGGTAACCACAAATCCACTGTTCATGTCCATGAGTCTCTGTTTGTTTGTCATGTTTGTTTGTTGTTTTCAGTTTTATATCCTGCATAAGAGTGAAATTGTATGATTTTAAACTTTTTCTGTCTGGCTTATTTCACTTAGCATGATTATCTCAAGATTCATCCATGTCGTCACAAATGGCAGTATTTCATCTTTCCTTATGGCTGAGTAATATTCCATTGTATATATGTCCCACTTCTTATCTATCCAATCATTTATTGTAGGACACTTTGGTTGCTTCCATGTCCTGGCCACCATGAATAATGCTGCTATGAACATTCGGGTGCATATATCTTTATGGATATATGTCTTCAGGTTTTTTGGTTAAATACCTAGAAGAGGGATTGCTGGGTCATATGGTAATTCAATTTTTAGTTTTTTGAGGAATTTCCATACTGTTTTCCATAGTGGTTGTATCAATTTACATTCCCACCAGCAGCATATCAGGGTTTCTTTTGCCCCACAACCTCTCCACACTTATTACTTGCCCTATTGATGATAGCCATTCTAACAAGTGTGAGATGGTATCTCATTGTGGTTTTGATTTGCATTTCCCTAATAGTTAGTGAAGTTGAGCATCTTTTCATATATCTGTTGGCCATTTGTCTGTCTTCTTGGGAGAAGTGTTTGTTCAGGTCCTCTGCCCATGTTTTAATTGGATTGTTTGATTTTTTTGTTGTTGTTATTGAGTCGTATGAGTTCTTTATATATTTTGGATATTAGGCCCTTACAGAAGCATTGTTTGCAAATATATTCCCCCATTCAGATGATCGCCTCTTTGCCTTAACAACTAATATTTTTATGTGCAACTCAAAGACTTCCATTTTTCATACAGTCATTCTAAATTTATTTCAATATTTTTAGTTTTCACAAAATAGACTGTGTGTATAATTTACATATATTCTGAATTGTATATTATATTTTTTAAATCTGTAATTATGAAAGTCAAGAAATATGAAATAGATTAAGGTTGTTGCCAAGTTTATGCTTCAAATGCCATCATTATATGATTTTCTTTAGAAGTCTTTATAACTGCTCAAACCTTTGCAAGTGTGAATTAATTACATTCTTCAAAATCTCAAACAGGCAGAATAAAAAGTAAAAAATGACCTATTATGATTCTATTTGTGTTTTCTTTCCCAAAGCTTCTTTCTGTTTCGGTTCACTATGTTCCAAAGTCACAAGTGAAAGTATGTGAAAATTATTTTATGGTGGTGGTCTCTCTCCCTTCATCAAACACATAATAGAGAAATTAAAAAGAGAAAAATTATTCTTAGGCTCACTGACTATTTTTCCTTTTGCTCTTTCTTCCCTCTATTATTTCCTTTAGCTCTTGGTTATACAGTCAGGTGCATTTGCCAACTGAAGGAACCATTCTTGTTACCTGGGAAATGTAAGATGGTATCTGACTGCGGACAGACTTGTTTTCAGAAACCAGTGCCTCTTTTCTTCTACTGGATTTTCTGTGCTTGCATTGTGAAATGGTTCTGTGTATTAATAGGCCTTCTCTGCTAGGGAATATTTTGAAAGTCAGGACAAGATCACACAGAAAGGCTCCATGAATATTCTGTAAGGAGCAGAATTTCCCATGAGAATGGATGCAGGTGCTTCCTTGTAAAACATTGATAATCCTCCACATATAGAGTCTGCAAGTCATGACCTGTGGCTGAGAGACACAATCCTGGAATGGAGCCCAACTAGTGATGTACCAGGACAGGGTAGGATACATTTGGCTGTCAAGCAATCTGCTCCTCCTTATGATTTCATTGTTCTCTGGAGAGCTCTGGCGCTATTCAGAGGAGAATCAGAGCTATGGAAGCATGCTTCTATCACCACATTATCCAACTGAATATGCTTATTTCTAATGTGTGACTTACTGTGGAGAGATACATTTCTTATAAGATCTCAGAGAACTAAATACACTTGTGCAAAACTTAAACAAAAGCATTTGAAATGTTTTCAATACCAACGCAAAGTGTAAATCAAGTGGCAAAAGAAGAATGGAGTTTTCTTGTGAGACTCACTTCTGAACAGACTGGCGAAGTCCTGAAAGAAGCAGTCATCAGAGTGGAAACATGGGCTCTGGGGTCATGATTCAAATTCTTAGTTTTTGTAAATTTGGGAAAGTTACTTACCTTCTCCAAGTCTTGGATTCCTTGTCTGTAAAACAGGGATAACAATATCCACCTCAAATTTTCATTGTGAGGATAACGCAAAATAAAGGTCTGGAATATTCTAGGTGCTCAATACATGTTTATTGCCTGCACCCCATCCCTTTCCTACTATTTCAGTTCATATCAGGCAAAATGGTTACGATATTCCCGGAGAGTCTTGATTAAAACAAAGACCTTCAGCCTGCAAATCTCTAAGAGAGAATGAGAAGCAAAGAGGAAGTTTTCATCAATGTATGTTTATTCTCTTGGCATGACTATATTCTTTAAAAGTAACATGATTATGGCTTTTTGTTCCTTCACTATGCTATTATACACCTGAACAATCACCTGAAGTCAACCTGCACAGCATGAGAGAGGCATTGACTGCGGGAACAATCTGACTCCAGAGTAGTTTCATTAAAGCATTCCTCTTTCGGGCTTACCAAAGATTCCTTTGCTCCCTTTCCCCTTCCTTCAAGTCCCACCTTCCTTGCAGTATTTCTAACTCCCTTCTTTCACACATTATCCTACTATCATCCCCTGCTCTTTCTCTTCAAAGTATTTCATTGGTTTTATTTAAATAAGACACACATACCCCAATCTAAGAAACGGTAGCAGACTAAACCTCCATTCCCTCTAACAGGACATGCTGTTTGTACTATAGAAGGAAGAAAAAGTCTGTAGTTCCATTTATTGGCATGTTCCTCTCCTTCGTAGTGGTTCCATTGAAAAAATACAAATGCACAAGTTTTGGCTTTAAGTGGCTTCCTAGAGAAAAGCCTTTTTAAGAAGCAATTTAGCAGGTTTTTTCATATTTCAGCAAAAGGAGATTGGATGTTCATGTGCTAGAATGTGTGTGTCTGTGTGTAACTAAACATATCATGCATAGCATAGGTGAGAAAAGAATCACTCACCCCTGCTAGGGGAAGAGTTAAAGTGTCCCCATTTCTGTCCCATCAGCCAGGGTCTCTACTCACAAGTGCACATGAAAACACAACACTACAATCAACAATGAATAGACAATAACATGCCAACAATAGAAGCCTGACACAGGATTTGTTTCTCCAAGGCTAAGGCTCTAATAATCTTGAATCCCAAATTCCCCTGTCAGTGTTCCTGTTACAATTCTTTCTTTGAGGAATGGTGAAGCATGGCTTGGCTGAGTGCCCCCTGCAGACACCAGGGAAAAGATGTCAGAGATAGCTAGTAAACAACGCTTTCCAGACCCCTTTAGGAAAGACCTGAGATGAGATAAAACAGACCAGGTCTTTTATTTTTTTCTTTCACTTGACCTGATGAATATTTCCAATGGCCTGGGAGAAAGTGAGAAACTTTTCCTAAACTGTTTCCCAGCTGGGGACATGGAAGAGCATCAGGACAGGTTTGCTAGCTGAATTGTCTTGGAGCCAAACCTAAGAGCACCTGCTGCTCTGTGAGGCCAAGGGAGAGAACATTGGGGGTGGAGGTGGCTCCTAACAGTGGGCAGAGAGGTACCTGCAACCCTGTGGTACTCAAGTTGTGTGCCTCCAGGACACTCCAACTACTTTGTTTACAGATTGGAGATATTTTTATCCCAACCCTTCAATTAGAGGTAATTTTCTCTTTACACAAATTGTACCATCT